CTCAGATCCTTTCCCTCGCGATATTTACCAATCTTCCAGAATATTTATTAGTTCATCTTCACGACTATTTTCTAATTAAATATATTATCACGTTTATTTGTACCATATTTTTTTTTTCCCCTCCAATTCTTCTCCAATTCTTCTTCCAACAGGTTTATTAATTATGTACAAAACGGTACGAAAAGGCGATGCCAGTCTGCAGTACACAATTGTACCGCAAACGGACCAGTTTTCGTCTGAGTTCCCTCAGACGTCGGAAAAATCTAGCCCGAGGGTGATCAAGTACACCATAGCCACTTTGCTCATCCTGATCATCCTGTCCTGCGTGGCGACCCCGTTTCTCATAAGTCAGAATGATCAGAGCCTGTTCGCGGGCACTGTGCTCGCGATGGGTCGGGTCGGGCACGACACAATAGAGAGAAACTCGTCGAGGAGTCAGGGGAAAGAGATCGGCGTGAACAAAAGCAAAAGCAGGCTTCCGATCACCGCCACCACCACCGCCACCACCACCACCACTACACTTCCATCGACGGAAGCCTACAGGAAGCAGGATGTCGAGGACGAGATGACTACGGGAGCGTTGAATGGCGACGAACAAGAGTCGGAGGAGTTCGCTACCACGGGTATGAATTCTTTGTGTGTTGCTTCTCCCCTCGTTTTCTCCACAGACTGAATCGATGCTTGTTGCGCGTTTGTACGTCAAGTCGAAGATTTTCACTATTGAAGAAAGAAGGAAAAAATAATTTCCTTTTTTTAGTTCCCTAGGAAACGACAAGAGAGAATTACTTCTTTCTTTGGAAAAAAGGTTAAAAATTGGAGGAAGATTGTATTATCGGTTGTACAGGACAAGTTTTAAGTCGAAGAACGTCTCTTTATCCTTGGATATTTATGTATCGGCAATATCTTATCCATTTAAGAAGTTTGATTCCAGTTTTGGGATCAATTTAGATCGGTAAGACGAGCTAATTCGACATTCCGTCCTTCAAGTGCAAATAGTTTACGTTATCCTTTAATCGGCCCCTATAAAAGTTTCTCGAAACTTTTAATAGGTAGTTGGATCGATGGGTAAAAAAGAAATTGACAATATCCACGCAATTATCGTTCAAATCGTTTCGCGGTTAGTTTCCCGGCACGCGAAATGCTTTCGTTATGCAAACATTTCGAATGGCAACCTGACGTTAATAGAGCGTTGAGAAATTCACCTTTAATCGTTTCATCAAGTTTCTGACATTTATCGCTTTTATCGTGTCCTTTAATATTGATTTTCTCGTTATACACTCCAATTTCCCTCTCGTAATCTGTCTTATTAAAAAAAAAAAATAACAAAACATTTAATAGTAAGCTCGCTTATTGGAAACGATGATCGAATCAAATATTTTATTTCGTATGATAAATTAAAAAATATTTTCCTTTGCATATATCTCTGAAGCGAAATTACTCGTACAGAACGATAACCACGACAATATATATATCTTCAAAATTGGAAAGAATGAAAAAAAATTTTATCATATCTTCTCTCTCATCTACGAACTTTCAATTCCTTTTTTTTCCTGAACTCTCTGTTCCCAGATTCCACGACAAGTAGCATGCAGCGTCAAGAAAGCAGCACGGAATCGTCGACGAGTACTCGACAGACGTCCACCTTCGCGATATTCACGTCCACGATGAGCCCGTCGTCGACTCTGTCATCGACAT